GAGAAGGAAGATCATATAAGCAGCCTTTGATTCCTTGTAAAAGGAAGAAGATGTGAGCCATAAATATAACATATCCCTATACAAATAAACTGATTGCTTACTGCATCATATACCACTGCTGTCCAGTTTATACTATCATTGTGTGCAAATGGCTTCTCAAAATTCTTCCCCCCGACACACACACACACACACACACTGGGGGGCAAAGGAATACAACAAGGGGGCAAGGGAGGACATTTCACCAAATCTATCAAGAAGGGAAGCCGGGAGAAGCACAGCTTCTTCTTCCACCAACCCCAAGGGTTTTCATTTATTTGTGCTATCATTTTGGGGTTGGGTCATGGTGGCCGAGGGAGCATGGTCCTTATTTCTGTCCCACATCTCTCCATTCTCTCCTTTACAATCTCTTTCTGCAGTCTCCCTGGCAGCTCACACTTCTCCATCTGTTGGAGAAGTGGCACCCTTGAAAGTGTTGTCCTAGCATATGTAACCTGTAGAACCACTGCAGTATTGTTTGCTGGCATGGGAACTCTGTTGTCCCAGCAATTGAGATAGGCCTTGTGCTAGAAGCTACTTCTGGTGCAGTTTATGTTAGTAGTCTTGTCCAATAGGATACAGACCATTATGTCTTCCCCCCAGAAGCTGCACTTTAGCTGAAATGCAGGAGACTGGGAAAGCTGCAGAGTGCCAGAAAGATGATGGCACAATGAAAGACATGACAATTTTGCACACACCTTTGCCTCATAAATAAGTAGGCATAAGAAACTTGGCCCTTTCATTCTCATTTTTTAAAGGGAATCTATTTTCTGTCAGATTGAATGAGAAGGAGGAACAATGGAATAAAGTTTTTGCACAGCACTATTTATACTGTTATGGAAGAATGGAGTGGTAATAATTTGCCTGGACGGCACTATTCAAAACATCAGATCAGGTTTTGCATGTTTTCAGGCCAAGGCAAACAACTGAATTTTGGAACACTTGACCTGGAAAACTTGGGATAGAAATTGGGGATGACTGTGGCATGGGTCAGGAAATTGCTGAAAATATTCAGAAGGACATAGAGATGGCATTTAGCATGAGTGCCGACTGTGCAGGTGGGCACTGCTACCTGCCACTAACTATTCCTTCATGTCTTCAGAAACCCATGAATACGGCATTGTGTCTCCTTCCCCCAACCTCAACCATTTCATAATGATAACTCTATGGCATTCAGAATAAAAACAGCAGCTGCCAGGCACCAAATTGACTACAGCCTCCACCCCAAATTTACACTACATCCCCACAAACTTTGCCAAAATGCCCCTCTCATGTTGCTTTCCATGAATGGGGCAGCCACTTCCATTCAGCCTTATTATACCCCACTGTCACTCAGTAAACATATTCCATGTATGTAGGAGAGGGAAAATGACAAACGGATGCAAACTGTATCCCTCCCATGTGACCCTTTCTCCTTCACACGTGGGGAGGTGCTTTGGTTGCAGGAGTGATTGATCTGGTGAGTCTCAGGTAAGCAAGGCATATAAAATTCTGAAACACTTTTGCCTCCTCCAACAAGGAAACATGCCATATTATGACACTGACATTAAACATTCATCCTGACTACTTTTATGGAGTCTTTACTCCATCTTTTGTCTCGTAGTGCCAACCACTATTAAAAAAGTGGGTCACCATCCTGTCCTACTTGGTTTATTTCCTATAGAAAGACCATAGAAACAGAGCGAGTCAGAAGCGGCCTCCTGGGCCATCAAGTCTGACCTCTGGCACCAGCCGGCTCCGCTCTCGACATGTCCACCATGTGGACGTCCAGCCTATCCTTGAACACCCACACCAATGGGGCCTCAACGACCTCTCATGGAAGCCCATTCCACACCCTTGGGGTCCTGACTGTCAGGAAGTGCTTCCTGGCATCCAAATGGAACCTTGGCTCCCTGAGCTTTGCTCCGCTGGAGCGCATTCTGCCTTCCTCTGCAGGGGAGAACAGGTCTCTGCCCATCTCCATGTGACATCCCCTCACATACCTGTATGTTGCCAACATATCCCCTCTGAGTCTCCTCTTCTCCAGGCTGAAGAGAACCAGTTCCCTCAGTCTCACCTCATACGGCATCCCCTGCAAACCGGCCACCAACCTTGTGGCCCTACGCTGCACTGACTCTAACCCGGATATATCCTTTCTGTAATGAGGGGCCCAAAACTGAGCACAATACTCCAGTTGCGGGCACACCAGAGTCGTATAGAGTGGTAGTAATACCTCTCTTGATCTAGAAGCCACACTTCTGGCTATGCAACCAAGGGTGGAGTTTGCCCTCTTGACCACCGCATCACACTGCTGACTCATGTTTAGCCTGCAGTCAACCAGCACCCCAAGGTCCCTTTCACAAGTGCTGCTCTCCAGTCACTTGTCACCTTACCTGTACTTATGACAGCTATTCTTATGCCCCAAGTGCAAGACCTTGCACTTATCCACATTGAACACCATCCTGTTGCCTCCTGCCCACTTCCATAGTCTGTCCAGATCCTTTTGGATCTAGAGTACCTGCTCCTCAGTTGTGGCCACTGCTCCAGTTTTTGTGTTGTCTGCAAATTTGATCAGCAGACTGTTCACCCGTTCTTCCATGTCATTAATGAAAAGATGGAACAGGAGTGACCCCAGGACAGAGCCCTGGGGGACCCCACTTGTCGCTGGCCGCCATCCCAATGATTCCCCGCTAATGGTTACCTTCTGCTTTTGGTCAGTCAACCATGCCCTAATCCACCGGACAGTGCTTTGGTGTACTCCAAAACTCCTCAGTTTCTCCACCAGGATATCATGGGGCACTCTGTCAAAGGCCTTGCTGAAATCCAGGTATACCACATCCACTGCATCCCCTCCATTTAGCCATCTCGAAACCTTGTCATAGAATTCCACAAGGTTTGTCTGGCAGGACCTGTTTTTGCGGAAGCCGTGTTGTGTGGCTGTCAGCCTCCCTTCCCTATCTAGCATCACTAGATCTCTCTCTATTATGAGCCTTTCCATTGTTTTTCCTACAATGGACATTAGGCTAACAGGTCTATAATTCCCCATGTCCCTTCTACTACCCTTTTTGAAAATTGGGACCACTGATGCCACACTCCAGTCCTCTGGAACTTTACCCGTTCTCCATGAGGCCTCAGAAATGGAGGCCAGCGGGCATGAGAGAACCCCTGCCAACTCTCTAAGTACTCTCGGGTGTAACCCGTCAGGGCCTGGCACCTTTGTAATGTCCAATGCCCTGAGGAGCCCCTCGACTTCAAGGGGGGAGACTCTAATCTGTGCCCCTAAGTCCCCAGCCTCATCTAATCTCCTGTGCGGATATCCCCCATCCTGTTTTGGGGAGAACATAGAGGCAAAATTGTCATTTAGCATGTGTGCCTGTTCCCTTATATCAGTCACTGGATCTCCTTCCTCCTTATTTATAGGAGAGACCATTGAAGAACATAAACAAATCAGAACGCTTTTTCCTAGACTGGACTCTCCTGTCTGCAAGAGCTGCCTTATGTTGCGTGAATAATGACAGAAAGAGTGTGCCCCACCTCCGCAAATCATTTCCCAGGACTCTCCCAGTAATGCCCTGTCCAAGCGTTATCTCCAGAACTGCCTTACCCTGTAGTAATCAGTGCTGTAGACATCTCTGGACATCCCAAAATCTCCAATCTTCACCAGCAGGTTAGCGCCGACCAAGCAGTTCCTTGTTGCCAGGTCTCTGTGTACAAAGTGCTGGGAGGCGAGGTAAGCCATCCCAGAAGCAATCTGGCTAGCGATATGAAGCATTTGAGAGAGACCAAGCTCTCCTTTGGCTTGCCGGGGCTGCCCATCCACAAGGATCATCGCATCTGGGCCATGTGCCCTATGGAAGACAAGACAAAATAAGACAAGGAGGTTTTAAAAAAACAAGAAGATTAATAATGCAACAAGCAGAAACATTCCTTTTCGGGCATGGGTTTTAAACAGTGTCCCAGCCAGAGAAATAGCAGTTGAGTTCCTTGGAAGCATTTTGGTGAGTCCTTAATATAATGATCAGCTTCTGTTTCCTGGAAGACAGCTAGCCTGCCAGACAACCATTTCACAGGCCAGCTGCCAAAGAACATGGCAAACTACAACTCCCTTTTACCAATAACTTCCATTAGTAAGGCTGTCTTCCATTTAGGGCTGTCTTCCAGAACTTATGTTGTGGACTTCAACATAAGCAGAGCCCTTCAAAGATTTTGAATGCAATTATAGCCCATTCCCAAAAAGCAAGAGAATAGCACAGTCTAATTCCATGTGAAATCATAGGTGACAGTTTGCATTTGCTGCCAATATTGTATCAGCTGAAGTAATTGTGGTACAGGTCTGTTGGGATCATGTCCTTTCAGAATGCATGTGGCTACTGCCACCACCATCTCCACATGTGAATCCTATGCCCATTGCAGGACACATGGATTAATCCTATGCCACTGAGCCCTCTCTCAGTACTTGTCATCCAACATTGGAGGTGATGGGTGAGGGATACCATGTAGAATGCCAGAAACCACTGACATGTGGTGCAATAAGAACAATGCTGTAGTGACTTTCTGCCTCATTCACTAGATGCTACAGCACAAGTTCCTGTTTGTCCCAGTTTCTTTGAAACCAGAGTATTGCAGAGCAACAGCTAAGCAGAGTGGGAACTGATGGGGTGAAAGAGAACATCCAGCTCCCAGACTTTTCCCCTTTCCTTGATCCCTTTGCTCTTTTTTCTTGAGCTTGGCCACCTTTCTTTATTTGCCTTCTTGACTGATGCTGTTTTTTGCTGACTGTTTTCGGCAAAGGCTGTGTTGTGGTAGGACTGGGCTGAGGTGTCACCCAGGAGTGGATCAGTTTGGGAAGAGGTTCATCAAGAGCACCCCTGCTGTAGGTGGCAAGGCCACCCCTGAAGAGGCAACAGAAAAGAGGGTGGTCTGCTTGGGTTGCCTCTTTGGGGGGTCCTGTGGAAATCCAGCAGCTGAATCCCTGTGTGAAACAGAAGCACTTAAAGAATAGGCTGTCTGTGGGCACTTGCTGAGCACAGGCATGGGTCTGAAGAGCTAGAAGTGAACTGAGGTAACAGTTCTTCAATGAATGCATCCCATGCCTGGTTACTCCAATTTTTCTTAATCTGAAAAGTTTAATTTGGAGAACAGGAGCCAGCTTGCTGTTGCTCATCTTGCCAACCTATTGAAAATCATCCAAGATATTTTCTGGTAGATTCTAAACTAATTCTGCCCACTTTGGATTGACAGAGAGGACAGGACCCTGTTAATGGGGCTATATGCTAAGTGCCCCAAAGCATAAGGCAGGTGTAGAGATGCCAAAGAAATCTACCGTGCATTCAAATTAGTTTGGATTGCCATAAATCTGAATTCAGCAAATTCCATGGACTTGCAGAGAAGTATTTATGCATTTTCCTAAAAAAAACAATTCCCTTTCCATCAATGAATGAACAATGGACCAAAAGATGCCTGACACTCTGTGAAATATAGTGGGGATGGATTTAACAAAATCTATGCACGACTAGGCAGAGCTTTCTATTTTCTGGTGTTCTACAACTGCTGTTATCCTGGAACATCAGGATGGAAACTATAGCCAAATAACATCTGAAGGGTCACATGTTGCCCACTCTTGTTATACAGAGTAGTCCATATTTGAAAAAGTCAATGGTTGAGAATGAGTTTGTGTAGAATAGAGAAGCTTAAGGAATTCATTTTATGCACATTTTGATATGAACTGACTTAATCATCACTTTCTACTTATCCACTGTCTTTCTCATTTCCCAAATTTTCATGTGTAGTTTTTGGCCAGAAAAAGCAAGCTACAAAATCTGTTGAGATGTATATTTTGGAGACATGTATACAGACTATGTGTATGACAAAGGACTATAAAATATAGATTTAAATCTAAATTACTGTGGAAACAGGGTGGAACAGATTAAGGGGTGAATACATATGAAAGTGACATGGACCAGAAATAGACCAGTGGGACATCTCTGGAAATTTTTGCTAGTCTGCCATACAGAATATGGGGTCTTATCTTGATGAACACAAAGTTCAGATGTCTGTAATGTTCTGACAGAAAGGAGGCATGGGAAAAACAAGGCTGCAGCTGAGCTTCTCCAACGGATCTTTGTTAACCTCATTCCCAAATGTGACACTACATCGTTGTTAGAGAAACATTTTCAAATATTTACAACAGGATGGGTGTACATTTTTTAAAGTGTGTGATTTTTAAAAATATATATATTCGATGCATTTTGCAACTGTGATTGCAAGGTTCAGGAATATGGAAAATCCATCCAAAGCAAGTGCCCTTGCTGGCAAATGAGGCAGCTCAAATCACAGAAGCACGGAAATTCCACTCCTGCTTGCAAATCACGGCCGTGCGTCCAAGTGGCAACCTTGAATATAAACGTGGGCAGTATGACCATTGTCAGGACATTCCCCGAACTTGTGTTTGTGTCCTAAAGTGCACATTTGTATAAGTGTTCATTTCCAAAATTGGGCACTTGCACAAACACACAAATGTGCAAAGGAGTCTTTCTCCTCAAAGTCTCCTTTTTCATCCTTAATCTATGGGAGAAAAATGTGAGCCTTTGAATGGAGAAAACAGCACATTTGTTTCCCACTGGAAAAGACAGAGGAGGGAGGGAGATGGGAAGGGAAGACAAAATAGACTCTGGAACAGATTCAGGAACATGAATGAAGTAAATTGAGCATTGGGAAGGAATCCAGAGAACTTCAAAGAGTTGGAACATTCAATGTTCACCCATCCCAACTTAGAAACAGTCAGCTGGGACCTCCTGGGTCATCTAGTCCAACCCCTGGCTCCAGCCAGCTCTGCTCTGAGCTGTGCATGTCCTACCATGTGCATGCCCAGACTCTCCTTGAACACGCTTACCAATGGGGCTTCATCCACCTCCCATGGAAGCCCATTCCATACCCTTGGGGTCCTAACTGTCAGGAACTTAGGCTGAAAAGACTGTTCCATCCTTCTCATTTGGGGTATTGTTGAGCCAAGTGCCCCCATTTTGCAGCTGTGCATTTGGTTTCTTGTTCCTAAGTGGAGGCCTTGGCAGTTGCCCCTGCTGAATTCCATGCTGTTGCTCTCTGCCCAGTGTTCTGAGCTATCAAGATCACTCTGCCTCTCATCTCTGTCTCCCAGGGCATGTCTTACGATGCTTGGCAACTGAAAGCATGATATCACAGAGGCCAGGTTTGCATAGGAGGTGAAGGATGTGATGCACTTGTGCTCCCTTTCTCCTTTGAGTAGAGCTATCTGTATTTTCTCCCCAACAAGATGGGAGCTGCCATTCCACCACTAGCCTTTTCTTATCCTGGACACTGCAATTTACAGCAGACCTTTTTGTATTCTGTGGCAGTGCCACCCTCAGGTTTGACATGTCTCAGGTAACAGAGAGATTCACAAGGGTGGCATTCAGAACAGCTACAGCAGAGTGACAGATCGTTAGGAAGCAAGGCTGATGCCACTGCACACAGACCATGCTCTACAGATTACCTAGAGAAACATAACTTCCCTTGCCACCTTTCGGCTCTGGCCTCTTGACAGAGCAGCAGAGCAGCAGAGGCACAGGCTGGGAGAGAGGGCTGAGTGGCCAGGGGACTGGTGAAGGCAAGGGAGGAGCTGGCGGGGGAGCAGGGGCAGGAGCAGCAGAGAGGAAGGGGGCGGGGCCAGAGGGGCTAGAGGGGCCAGGAGGAAGCAGGGGGCAGGGCCACCAGCCAGAGGGACTGATAAGGCATCGTCCCTTGTTTGTGTCCCTTAGCTGCGGCCTGGGATGTCCGGAGACTCCCTTCCCTGAGATAAAAGTTTGTTTTGTTTGTGCTGTGCTGTGCTGTGCTTTGCTTTGTTTTTCTTCCAATTTAAATTTAAGTTTAAATTAAGTTTAAATTAAGTTTAAAATTTAAGAGGAGGTGAGGGGGCTGAGGGCTGAGAGAGCTCTCCAGGCCCCCCCGGAGCAGCCCCCCTCTGGACAGAGGGTTGAGGGAGAGGCCACGGGAGGAGCAGCTGCGGAGACATGGAGGTATGTCACCCACAGGAGGATGAGGCCAGCATGGCCTCCTCCTCCTCCTGGCACCAATCTGGAGCTGGGAAACAGATTCTCTCCACTTGGGGAGGCTGGGGCTGATGAGGCCTCGGGGGACCAGCAGGACCCCCAGCCTGGGACGTCAGGCGGCAAGGGGCCGCTGCGGGAGAGGCGAGGGCCAGGGCACGGCTGTCCACCAGCACCGGGAAGGTACGGCAGCAGAGGATTGTTGTTGGGGGCTCCCTGCTGAGGGGCACTGAGGTGGCAGTGTGCTGCCCCAACCTGGAGACAAGGGAGGTTTGCTGCCTGCTGGGCGCACGCATCCGGCATGTGAAGGACAGAGTGGAGAATCTTGTTCACTCCAGGGGTCACCAGCCGCTCCTGGTGATCCATGTGGGCACAAACGATGTGGCCAGGCAGGGTGTGGTTGGGACCACCAGGGACTTTGAAGCCTTAGGGAAGAAACTCAGGGAGCTGAAGGCCCAAGTGGCCTTCTCGTCAATCTTACCTGTCCAGGGATTTGGGCCAGGAAGGGACAGGAGGGCCTCCGAGGTGAACGACTGGCTTAGAGTGTGGTGCCAGAAGGAACGCTTTGGGTTCCTCGACCACGGCACTCGTTTTCTTGCCAATAGACTTCTGGCAAGGGATGGGTTTTACCTCACGAGGATGAGGAAAAGGTCCTTTGGAGAAGCTCTAGCGAGCTTTGTCCGGAAGACTTTAAACTGAGCCGGGGGGCGGGGGGTTCAGGCCCCCCAGTAACGTGTCTGCACTGGACAAGTGTGGGGGGAGGATCAGGGCTCTGGGAGCAGGGT